TGTTTGTCTTCAAATGTGGTGCTGCTAGATGGGAGCTGTCTCTTTCCAAACACAGTCTGACGCAGTTACTGGGGCCCTGAGTCGGTGCTTGTCCAAAGCGCTATCCCGAAGGGGCAGGAGCAGCAGTGTCAACTTCCCAACACTGTGCAGCTGACACCCATCAGTCAGGGGTACTTCTAGGTCTGAGCAGAGTTCAGCCTCCACATCAATCCTGTGCTCTCTCCAACAGACCACAAACAAGGATGCTCATTGGTGCTGGATGCAATGGTAGTTTTGTGATGGGATCACCTGTCCCTCCTGGAACTGGGCTCAGACCCACCCAATTGATTTCACACACAGGCTACCATGTGGTGGTAACTCTGGTTGCTGTTGACCTGGCTGAGATTTGAACCAAGCAATCTAGAGAAAAAAAGTTATCAGTAGAGGAGTGATTGCATTTTAAAACAGTGTATGAGAGCACACCAGATTTTTGGTGTTGGAGATCATTGTTAGGAGAATTGATGTGTGGCAAATTGAGCCAGTTTCTTATCTGACATCTACATAAACCCAGAGTAATTCCACTCCAGTATGTAGCTAAGGTATTTATGTGCTGACCCCTGCTGTATCTCATGCCTGACCGTAATGATGTGTGGAAGCAATTGTGAAATACAGTTATCACTTAGCACACACTGGTCTCACTGATGTAACTTGTGCCAGTTTCTGGCACGGTGCTAGGGGCTGACGCCGTTTTGCAGAGGAAGGAATATCACAGGCCAAGGTTCTGATGCAACCTTAACACCTACCTCTTGGTACAGCATTTGCGGCTGTATCCTGCTAACCCGTCTATTGCATGTTTAGTCCGTTCCCCAACTATTAAAGTGGCACGTTCCCAAGGAACAAGACATACTCCTCAGGAGCTTTATTGCTTAGAAGTAGAATGAGTGAGCAGTTTGGCCAAACGGGACTCTGATACCCTCATCCCACTTCCCCCCCAGCTTCTGAAGGCTAAGGCTGGTAGTTCTTGTTTGTCAACCTAGTTCCCTGGTCCAGAAACTTGCTGTAACCTTTTAGGAAACATGTCTCCTACATTTCAAACATCACGTTAAACAAAAAGAAAAAATAAGCAAAAATCCCATCTGTGCGCCAGTAAGCGAGTGTTGCTAATAATGATGGCTACTGTTGTGTGACAGGCCCATTCTTGGTAATGCTACATGGTCCTCCTGGAAGATCAGCTTCAACCTTGATTTCCGCATACAGCAAGACATTTCCATCTAGATGCATAGTTCTAGTGCACCAATCACTATGGTATGTTGGTCCCATTTCCTGAGCCCACGACAATATTATGTTATGTGTTTCACTGTGGATCATAGAATATCAGGGTTGGAAGGGACCTCAGGAGGTCATCTAGTCCAACCCCCTGCTCAAAGCAGGACCAATCCCCAGATTTTTGCCTCTGATCCTTAAATGGCCCCCTCAAGGGCTGAACTCACAACCCTGGGTTTAGCAGGCCAATGCTCAATCCACTGAACTATCCCTCCCCCTTGGATACACTAGGCCAGCTCCTCATCTGGTACAGATCAGAGTAACGTTACCAACCTGAACAAAGCAATGCTGATTTATACCACACACAGATCATTTTTTATCTCTCCCAAATCCTCCAGGTAGAGCTGAGGGGAATTATTTGTAATACAATAACTGATAACTGAGTCTGCCTCGGCTTCTCTTTGTGAATTGTCTGCAAAGAAATGGTGAAATGTACTTTTGGTATTTGAAATTGCTTGTAAACTCTTGGGATTGTACATTATTGAACAGGTGCTAATAGCTGTTTGCCAACTTTCACTGGGCTGGGGTAGTCACATGGTGTTGATTCTGTTCCCTGATTGGATAATTTCTTTAACTAGCATCTTGGAGTGGAAAATTCACCAGTGGAAAATCTGCAGGCTGGTCACTCTCTCTGTTCAGCGCATGGGTCTGGGGAGGATCTAAGCATCCAGTGCACTGGGCTGGAATATTTTTGCAGAGAGACTATAGCTGATTCCCAGCAAAGCTCCCACACCAGTGCACGATTGGGATGGTGGTGTCCTGCTCCCGTGTGGGGCTCCCCAGGGCAAAGCGGCTCTGGTTGACCCGCAGGAGTCAGTCCCATATGTGCCGCATGCTGTCAGGGTCCAGCTGGGGGCTGGGCAGATCCAGCTCCCCTGCGACAGCCCTGCTCACCACTGCCTGGCCCCTTCCCTGGCCGGCAGGTGCAGGCAGTGCCCATGCTCCTTTCTGGCCAGGTTCCACTGGCTCGGTCCCCATGTGCCTGGGGCACCGCCCCCGGCTAGCCACCCCCACTCCCCGCTGAGCCCTGCAGGCGAGGCTCTGCCATGGGGCACCAGCCCAGCTGGCTCTGGGAGTCCCCGTTGCTTAGCAGGGACCTTCCTCCTCTGCTCCTGGGTCAGCCTGCCAGGACAGTCGTGCTTTCACTTACCGGCTGCTGCCATGGCGGAGCCGATCCCAGCTGCAAGGGGATGGGGTGAGGGCCAGAGTTTATAGTGGGGGTGCTGAAAGCCAGCGAATGAAACCGTAACCCACGTGGGTTCAAAAGCAATGTGAAAAAGCGCAATTCCCGCTCACACCCACAGCTTCGGGCTTCTGAACAATTGCAAAATGCTGCTAGGTTCATTCTGACAGCACCAGCAAACTTTTTACAGAGCAACCTAGGGTGCTGCCGCACCTGCCATGCCCCTAGGTCCCGCGCCCATGTGCTCTGCTCCTTCACTCAGCCTCAGGCATGAGGGAATATCTGCCACGGTCTTAAAAGAAACCACGCACCCAGCGGCAGTTAGCCTAGGCGGTGAGAGGCCACAAGCGTCAGCCCTCAGGGCACAGAAAGCAAACATCAGGAATCCTGGCTCACTTTACAAGTGACCTGCACACATTTATTTTCCAAGCAGTAACAGAGCCCTGCAGCAGTGCTTAATTTGTGCTGGGGTGTGCCCAGACTCCTCGAGGCTTGGCCATACATATTGCCGTCAGTTATGAGAGTAAAAACACTGTTTGAGCCCTGGCACCTCTTTCATTACACATTAAGCACTGCCCTCCGGGGTCTGCAACCTCCCCCGCCGCAGGCATTGAGCGCAGCTGCCAGGCTCAGCCTGACTCGGATTGCAAGTGAGGGAGAGAGGAAAGGGGGGGTAGTCAAACTTCACCCGCTCTCTCATTGCTACTTCGGTTTAGGAATGAAAAGGGCTTCGAGCAGCAGTAAAGTGCATGAGCAAGTTATGGAATTTTCCATGCCCTGCATTTACTGGTTTAGAAGATGGTATTTTGTGAAGGGGGGGGTGTGGAACACCAAATTATCTTCTATAGAAAAACACTACATACCACATTCCCTATATTAAACTAATAAGCTTATGCGCTAATAAATTTGTTAGTCTCTAAGGTGCCACAAGTACTCCTGTTCTTTTTGCGGATACAGACGAACATGGCTGCTACTCTGAAACCTATATTAAACTAGGCACTTGCCCAGTCAAAGCAACACTTTCTGGAGGGTGGAGGTTAGAGCCCTACATGGATACAAAATTTAGATCTGCATCCAATCCACAATCTGCAAAAATGATCCATGGCTATCCACATCCACGGATTTGTAGGGCTTTAGCTATAAAATTTGGATCCACATCCATCTGTGATCCCCTAAAATGGTCTGAGGATATCCACAGACTTGCAGGGCTCTAGTGGAGGTACTTCTACAGTAAGGAAAAGGCACCAGAACTTGCCTGTATGCACATCTCTTCTCCACCCCCACAGCAATCCCTGCAGCTGTGGAAGTGAGCATTTCTGAATTGCAGAAAGTGTTTCCTTAAGAACAGGGTAGTTTATAGTAGGGCTTGAGTATGACAATAGCTCCTCACATATAGACAGTATATCACTAGCCTTAATGGAGAGAAAGTGGTTTGAGTAGTGCAGCTGTTCCTTGTGTTGGACTGTGAAAAGCGAGTACTGAGGTCCCTGAACTACATGTTCAAGAAGTAGTAATGGAGAAAACTCTACTGAGAATAAGCAGAGTTTTGTAAAGTACCGCCCTAGCCTAGGAAGTATTTAATAGTACAATGTAAGAGTTCCTTCATGCTCTAGCAGGAACACTCGAAGCTATTTCAGATGACGTAGACCAATTCTTTGCAAAGCCTCTATTGTATTTTCATGGGGCGTAGACACGTAAAGAAAAAACTAAGTAAACTGAAGGCAAGTTCAAGCTGCTCTAAAAAACCCACAGAAAGCCTTATTTAACTAGAGGCTGGCTTACTGGAAGCATCTCCTCCACACAGCTGTTTACTACACCGCTGTACCTCGGGCAGGTTACATGACTTGAACACAACAATGCTAAAGACAACACTGACATTTGATTACAGGCTTTAGTTCCCTACTTTAGTTTTTCCATCTATCATGAAGATCTCAGCAAAATTCAATGTGTTTTATACAACAGTGAGTGGTTCAACTACGTAGACACAGCCTGTCTCCATGAGAAAAACAGTTAACATGTCACCCAACAGCCTGGAACCATTAGCATGTAGGCAGTTACTGAGTTAGTAGCTGGAATTAAGACCATCCCACACACAGACTGCAAGGAATTTGTTAGTTTCTCCATTAACGTTACCTGCCTGTTCCAAAAAGCTTTTCGTTATTTCACCCAGTGCATTCCATCGATACCGAGTGTGCTAATGAGACATTCCAGCTGGTGAGTCACCCTTCGGGAGCAGCTCTCTGTGCTGCCGGGTTAAGGGAGAGTTTGAGTGGTGCACAGCACAAGGGGGGAACATCAATGCTTTTGCAAACAATAGACCTCAAACACAGGAGTGTAGGATAAATTCTGAGCAAACTCAACAGGCAGCTAATGTAATGGTTATGGGAAGGTTCGACAGTGGCTGATATTTCAATGTGAATGGATTGTAGCTTCAAAATGCAGCATGATAAACACCTCCTGATGTGGCTTGCTGGTGCTTTGGTGAGCAAGAGAAGCAGCATCATATCTATAGCAATATATTGGAGTAACTATCACATGAAAGTTTTATTGCTGAAATGAAAAAAAAAAAGATTTGGCTGCAGTTAGACTGAAGAGTTTAAAAAAACCACAAGAGGTTACAGGGTTTGCAGTGATTCAGGTTTAGTCCCATATAAACAGATTACAAAGTAAAGTTGCATCAAGAAAAAAGACTCAAATGATGATAATCAGCATTAGCTTTAACTCTTCTCATCTTTTTATGGTATATTAGACAGCTGATGCAGTTTTTGCATAATGTCTTTAGTACCAGTAGATGGGATATATCCTTGTTGGTCAGTTTTTATGTTATTTATTAATTTACTCATTAAGTCACAAATAGGTTTCCACATTAATTCACACAAACAAACCAAAAAACAGGCTTATAAAAAGACTGATTTTTGGGGAGTGGGCAATTTCATAAACTGGTATTTTGCTTCAAAGCTTCTTAGAACAGGTCAAGATTATTTCAACTTCCAAGGTCACCATATCTATATATTACAACTAGATGGGATAAGAATGATCCTGAGCACAAAATATGTGAAATACTTAGATCCCAAGTTTAGCATTTAAAACTGATTCACATCTCTAACCAGTTATAACATTGGGACTTTATTACTGAGACAGGAAAGAATGTAGTGCTCCTTGCCATAGTAGGATCAAATCATCTGAGTTATGCATCCAAAAGGAGGTCACTTTACATGTTTTCGTAAAGACAGAGGGGTCTAAATAATTTAATTTTACCATATACAAACTCTGTATTTGTAAAATACGCAAAAAAATTTGAAATCAAAATCAAAGCATTTTACAAGAACCTTGATGGCTGTTAACGAATTATGGTTAAAAGAGACGAGACCAGAGTTAGGTCAGTTTTAGATGGATACAGTACTTTTAAGTTCCCATCCATGTCCACAACGCGAACCTGCTCCACTGTTAATGGAGAATTCTCTTGCTCTGCATTTTGGCTGGGATTTGAATTCACTGGTTCAGAAGTCATGTCCGATTCACCATCAGACACGGATTCTTCCTCCGCATTCTCTAAAGTGAATTTGTTGAGTTCTGCCATTTTCTGATTAGGAAACAAAAAGGAATCAAAGATTTCAATGTACAGGGTGAACGCAGTGGATGGGCTGTGAATTGCTTAAAGAGTTTCCAATAAGCAGGCCTGAGCTTTACATACTGCTGAGGGACTGATACCATAAATGGAAACCTTCAGTAATCATTTAAGCATTTTTTTAAAAAAGAAACTTACAGCTCTCCATATAGGTTAGTGAATTCTATGGGAAATCCTCCTTCTAGCCTTGTCCCCACATTCCACACAAGCAGGTTTACAAATCAGGCGTTGCATCCCAGCCCTTTGATTCTAAATGAAAAGAACCTGCTCCAGTGTCATTATTAAGGACTCTGCTTTCAACATATTTTAAGTTGTCCTCATTCCTGCCCTATATCAACTACACACATGTCGTTGAACTTGGACTTCAGAACATGGTAATGATAGTTAATTAATGAAGTGTAGGAGGAGCGGAACCAGGAGGGTAAAGCATACATGAGTTTGTCTTTCCAGTGCAGGAGGAAAGCATCCATCAGACACCCTGGACTGCGGGACCTTCACATGAACAAAACTGATGATACTTTGTTGTGACGAGTTGCAAAGAAGTTTAAGTGTGGAATCCCCCAGTCTTGAAAAATGAGGCAGACTATATCTGGCCCGAGAGACCATTTGTGATGACTGGTGAAAGATCTGCTCAATCTGCCAGACTATTCCGGAGACCTGGATGGTGGGAGGCTTTGAAGTGAATTGGAAGATAGATCTTGTCAGCCTAACTTCACATTTTTTTGGATGAGCTTACAAGTTTGGCTGCTAAAGGTAATGTGTTGATGTAATATAATTAGACTTCTGTAAGGCGTCTGACTTGGTACTGCATGACATTTTAATTAAAAAATTAGAATGATATAAAATTACCATGGCACACATTAAATGGATTAAAAACAAGTCTCAAAATGTAACTGTAAACAGGGAATAGTCATTGAGCAGGTCTGTTTCCAGGAGGGTATCGCAGCGATCAGTTCTTGGCCTTAAGCTATTTAACATTTTTATCAATGACCTGGAAGAAACTGTAAAATCATCACTGATAACATTTGCAGAGGACACAAAATTTGGGGGAGTGGTAAACAATGAAGAGGACACGTCACTGATTCAAAGTGATCTGGATTGCTTGGTAAACGGAGCACAAGCAAGCATGATGCGTTTTGACAGAGCTAACTGTAAATGTATTCATCTAGAAAATCAATGTAGGCCAAACTTGTAGAATGCAAAACTGTATTCTGGAAAGCAGTGACTCTGAAAAAGATTTGGGGGTCACTGTGGATAATCAACTGAACATGAGCTCCCAGTCTAACTCTGTGGCCAAAGGGAATCTTGAGTAGGAGTAAAGAGATGATTTTACCTCTCTACCTGGCAGTGGTGCGACCACTGCAGGAATACTGTGTCCAGCTCTCGTGAGGGTTCAAAGAAGGGCCACAAGAATGATTAAAGGATCAGAAAACATGCCTTCTAGTGACAGACTCAAAGAGCTCAATCTATTTAGCTTAACAAAGAGATAGTTAAGGGGTGAGCTAATTACAGTCTAAGTACCTAAATGGGAACAAATATTTAATAATGGGCTCTTCAACCCAGCAGAAAAAGATGTAATATGATCCAATGGTGGGAAATTGAAGCTAGACGCATTCAGACTGGAAATAAGGTGTACATTTTTTACAGTGACTAATTAACCACTGGAACAGCTTGCCAAGGGTTGTGGTAGATTCTCCATCACTGACAATTTAAAAATCAAGACTGGATATTTTTCTAAAAAGCCCTGCTGTATGGATTATTTTGGAGGAGGTTCTCTGGCCCGTGGAGGAGGTCAGACTAGATGATCACAATGGCTCCTTCTAGCCTTGGAGCCTATGAATCTAGATAGAGGTGTGCATGTCCAATAGGCAGTAATGCATCTGAAGTCCATTGACACTTCCTGATTAAGAAGTGGCATAGTCACATGCAATAAAGTTACCAATAGTAAATGTTCATAGTAACATGCAATAAAGACAAAATTATAAACAATAAAGGGAGAAATTAAGGTCCATGTACCTCTCTATTCCAACTTGGTTCTCTTATTCAGGGGCACACACAAAGAACAAGCTAGAGAGTCAGCTTACTGGAATACTTACTAGAATAAGGGTGTCCATGACATCTTTGCATATCTGAAGGCTGGTGCCGCTCGTCACTTCCAGAAATAGCTCACAAGTGGTTTTTCTAATCTGAAAAGTATTCCAGATGGACTCAGAAAAGGGAAGGCTGAATTGTAATACAATGAAATAGAAACTAATGCACACAGCTCCATAATCACATTGGTGCATTGGTGGGAGATTTCCATTACTTGCATCTGAAGAAGTGAGGTTCTTACCCACGAAAGCTTATGCTCCCAATACTTCTGTTAGTCTTAAAGGTGCCACAGGACCCTCTGTTGCTTTTTATTGGTGCATTTGTTTTTCAAAGAATATTTCAGCTTTATTTGAAAAACATCCAAGTGCACAAGTAGCTACACGTGAATCTTGCTAACTTCATGAAGGAAGAACTGTATGTTTGCACCTATCTGGGCAGCTCAATAACCAGCTGTCTCAGGCCATCGTACCTTTGGAACGGCTTACTAGAGAGCATGGTTTCTCAGCCTGTGGGTTGCCATCCAAAGATCAGGTGACCAGGATTCGTCAAAGGCTGTGCCTGCACTATGAGCTAAGGGCATGATGCCCTTGTTTGCGAACACATACTCATGCTAGCTGTATCAACAGCAGTCCACCCACTACAGCCATGCTGAGTACAGACCTACTGGTTTCAGGGGAGTACATACTCAGCATGGCTTAGTTGTGTCTCTGCTGCCATTACCTGTACTATGATGGCTACACCGTTATTTATACTCCCGCTAGTTCGATGACAGGTAGTACAAGTATCTGTACACGATCAAGGGAAATCACATCCCTAGCTCATGGTGTAGATGTAGCCAAACAGTCGAGTGGGAGGCCTGGTCAGGTCCTGCCCTCGGGGAGATGGGAGGCCCTGGGATGGGGCAGGCTCCCACACTCATCCCACAGCAGTGACTCCTACAGGGCTGGCTGGGCTCGTATGTACTGCCTACTGCGTGAGGTCACAGCACCACTCCTCCATCATGACGACAGGCTGCCGGCCGGGCCAAATGTGAGTGGGTAACCCTACGACCCCAGAGGTTACAACACCCAGAGTGGGGAGCCAAGCCCAGCCAGCCCCACCGGACAGGAGCCACTGCTATGATATGCACAGTGTTCTTTTTTAGTAATTATTACAGCAGCATGCATTATGTAATCTAGATAAAAAATACTTAGTAAGACAGATTTTTTTCTCGCTCCAGTAAAGCTATTCACTGGGTTGCTACAGGCCATCAAGGTTAAGCAGCACTGCTAAATAGCTTAACATAATTTTGACATTCAGCATTAAAAATGCATAGTTTGACTTTAAATTCATTTTTTAAAATCTAGTGCTTTTAGTATATAAACTTTAGACCTTAAAGTTTTTCTAAACTCGGTCATGAATTTCAATGGAGACTTGAACATATGGTAATATCAGGAGTATTTATTCCACAACACCTCTGAGTATCTCCTGACAAGGAGAGGATTGGAGTGATTTAGTTTTGAAGCCTGGCCCATTTCCACTATCATTGAGACTCAGATATAAGTGGATTGAAACTTTTGTACCTTTGTTCTCTCACTGTTAGTGATTGGTGGGAAAGAAATCACAACACCCTCAGCATCTACTAGACAAGGATAGTTCTCTTTCCCATCCAGTAATTGAAGGTACCTGTCAAGGAAAAAAGGTGAAGATAATGGAAAAAGAACAATCAGGCAACAATAAATAAGACAGTTGGAAGAGTGGGAAAATGGAGGTTGTGTGTTTCTGATCCAACACACAGAAAAACATAACTGCATGGCCTGCACAGAAGGTGAGTAATGCAATAATATCATGAAGCACTTTAAAGTAATATTCCGATTGCCAAAGTGAGCAAACATATTCTTACTGCTTTTATTGTGCCCAGTGCTCAAAATATAGCAACATTTTAGAGCTTGTTTTACTGACGCTACGAGTTCATATGCTTAAATTTAAGTCTCATTACCTTTCTCCACCACTTACAAAAATATGCAATCCCCACTTTGTTTACCTGGTCAGTTTCCCCCAAACATGCATGATGATGGACATGTGAGATGATCCCAATAGGAATGGGATGGGAAGGGTGATGTGTCGCTTTCCTTCAAATTAGATGTATAGTCACTTAAAGGTTTCAGCTCCTTACAAGCTGTTCCATTGACAGAATTTTGGACATTTAAGCACAATAAGTTTACTTATGTGACATTTATATGTAGCTCCCCTCCACTTTCCCGCCTCTCAAACATCCACTGTCTTTAGGCACAGTTTATATTGTAGTAATGGTGACAACTTCCAAATTAACTCTTGGTATAATAGGAGGCACAACATGTCACAACCACCACATTTTACTCAGTATTACTCAGTACTGTTATTTGTAAATCCCCCCCGCAACCCTTTTTTCCCCTCTAGATTTTCAGGAGCTCATGTTGAGTGCATCTGCACCATTACATGTTGCCTTTCATAACTAAGCACAGAGGGCAAATCTGATGTTCTTTGCAGTTACAATACTGTTGCTTTTCACGTGATCTTAAATTGAACAAAATGTGTCTGATCCATTTGAAAGAAGATGTGCATTAATACACTGACTTGTGCAGTCCAGAAACATTCTGACGCTTCTTCTGTTTCCTTTGTTCCTCAGCCTCTAACTGCAACTGACGGACAAGATCCTTTGCCTTGATCTCCTTCCGACCCAGTGGCATTACCTATATCAGAGAGAAAGCAAATACTTAAAAGTTAAGAGCTATTCATTGACATCAGGACTATCTGAGCTAGTTCATAAGAGCTAAAGGGATAAAAAATGGGGAGATTATAATATTTAACTGAAAGTTCCCATAACTAATTCTTCTATTTCAATATACTGCTTGGAACATAGACAAGGGGGGATTTTATGAAACACGTGTGACATTTCATTCTTTAAAAACATCCTAGATACTCAGGCATGTTTAAACTCCCTGCCAGGACTCTTGTTTGTGTTACCACACCAAAGGGACATTCCTATTAATTATGGTATGTTCTTGAGTTTTGAACATCATGTTTATTTTTGAGTTGAGTGAATAGGAGACATCCAAGAATAAAGAGCTTGACTTGAGATACATATCTTAGAACCATGGTTTGCCCAAGGACTTTTCCAGTGCTTTGGACTATTTTAGAAGAAAAAACTGAATAGTTTTAGTATTAACTCTTATGCCCTACAGGCCTAATTTGTGATGTGTATATCTCAGATTTTACTTTACTATAAAGAGCTGTAGAGTTTAATCGAGTCTGCAGAGTTTAGAAAACTCCCCCACCCCAATTAGTGCTGCTGAAGTCTCTTCTAGTTGTCCTAGGTTTTATCCAGGGTGGCTGCGGTTACATGCTCAAGCAATGATTATGGTCCCTCACTATTTGATCCGCTCTGCAATCCGCCTTCTCATTGGTGCTGCAAACAGACTGGAGCAAAGCAAGACTCAGAGGGAGCAGCAGGATGGAAAACGGGTAGAAAAATCATTTTAAAAAAGCAAACTTTTTATTTAACTTTACATGTTGCTAGTTCTTTGCCTTTTTTAGTCTTTGTTTTGTACTTCTCTTTAGTTTATTAATTGCTTGTAGAACTTCAGATTCTGCATAGAGATTTCTTTCCAAGAACCATCACACTTCAAATGTTCATCTGTGTGGAAAAACGAGTCCAGAGCCTCCTATCATCCTTACTACGAGAACACCCACAAACTCAAACACAAAATGGCTACGCAAATAGCCCATGCTATATTTACAACCAACACCTTCTGATAGATTGTACTTCCACAAGTCAAGAAAGCTGAAATGCTTCAAACAGGCTATACTCCTAAATCCCGGTTCAGTTTGAAGTCAATGGGACTTGCATTCCCACGTCACTCTGCTGATTTTGAAAACTCCACCCAGAGGTACTTACACAGGGGCTTTGGAGCCTAACTTTAGGCTCCTATATTTTAGTCTGTACATATAAAGGCCACAATCATTTTGTTATCATATTGAAAATCTAAACTTCTTGTGGTTAACACCGAAGCAAGCCGTTTAAAATGACAAAGATGATTATTCTACTCAGAGAAAAATATTTAACAATACAATTTTAGCCCCAGAAGCTGCAAACACTTGATTTTAAGCAGATTGAAATCAATGGGACTATTAGTGAGTGAAGTTATGTACCCACTTAAGTGTTTGCAGGATCTAGACCTTAGTTCTCAATGTTTTATTTTGCCTATAGCAGTTACATAAAACTGAAATAAAATACCCCAACAATAGTGCAATTAAAACAGAACCATCCTCATTTATAATCCAGCACAGATTTTCTTCATCTAAAGTTGCAATGGACAAAATCTAAAATTCATTTTACAAAGCCTCAATGTGATTTAAAACAGCTATTTGTATTTGTTTTAGATCAAGTAATTTAAATTATGACAATGATTTAGATGCCTTTATTTTAATCACTCCATGCTGGAAATACTCCTGCACAGCTGAGAGGAGATGGTACGGGGGGGAGCTGTGTCCAACTGGGGAAAACACACTATGGTTTATTTCTAATAAGCAAATAACCCCTGCTTCACCACTTTGCCTCCTCCCACCACCTTAAAAAAAAAAGTTAGTCAATTACTCTCCTGTTGTATTAATGGAATGAGAAAAACACTTTTTTAGGTGCATCTCAGAGGCTATTCCCACGGTTTGGTCAGCAATTAATGATAACGGGCAGAAAAAAATATCGCACTGGCTCATACTATGAAGAACCATCCCACAATTTGGATTCTGGTCCCTTTAGAATCATGATGTTGTGGACAATTGAATTTGAAGATCCAACAAAATCTTTCACTTGTGACCCAAGGAAATAATTGGACCAAAGTCTCCAGAAGTGGAAGAAGTGTTCATTAGCCTGCTGTATTCTGTGACTATTCACACAAAATAACTTGTATTAAACAGGTTTGCCCAATTGGCAAGCAGAGTCAGGCAGTTAGATGTCCACATTCTAGTATTTGCACCTGCAATTAAGGCCATAAGAGAGGCAATGAAGTTCAGGATTTATTTGTGATCTCTTGGACAAAGTCCACACTTGAAACATTTTTTTCTAATTTCAATTATATATAAGAGACTGGTTCCTGGATTCTACTGCTGGCTGGTATTGTTTGCTATGAGTTAAATATATTCTGTGGAGTGGGTTCTCAGAAAGCCTTGTTTGATCAGGGATTACTTTGTGGTCTGCATGGTTTAAATCAGAGATGCTTTGCCATCTTGACTATTAAAAGTAAACAAAGAACCAAAGATTAGCAACATTACATCAGGAAGTACAGTTAAAAGTGTTTTTGCCTTGGGCAACAGGTAGGTAAGTTTACTAGAGCCTGTCAGTTCCTTTGTAGCAAGAGACAAGTACTGGACTTGTTCCAAATAATTTCTAGCTTCAAATGGCCTCAGTCCATAAGAGGGCAACTGTTGGAGGCCTGAACCTCATCTGTATATGATTAAACACTTTAGACAAAATGCATTAACTACTAACATTTGCCTGCACTCCTATGGAAATGAACAGAAATGCCCTGATGATTGCATTATTAGCGATGGAAACAAGGCAGTCTGCATCTAAGAGTTCTAGCCAGCCAAAGTGAGGTCATGGACCATATTTCAGGACTCTATAGCCCCCGAACCCCCCACCCCCCCTGACCTGGTGTGCAATCACAGCTTCTAGAATTAAACAAGCTTTACTGCCATTGAAAATTTCTTCTGGCTCCTACTGTGCAGATGTGATGATTGAAGAGAAGAGCAGGTCTCTTAATGACAACACATTACTTTCTAGCAATAACAAGAGATGCACAAACACTGACAGAATTGTGTGTGTTCAGAGTGCAGCTATTTCTGACAGAATATCCAAGTGTAATACTGAGGTATGTTTTACATAAGCTTCTTTCCAGTGTTTACCCGAGTTTCCTGTCAGGAGGCTAGCTTACCCATGATTAGTAAGAAGGAACCAAGAACTGGAGAGAGAGAATCTAGTTTTTAGTACTGCAAATGAACCTGAACACTAGAGTGCACATCTCTGTTGGAACACAAATGGATGTGGAGCAGATTGACTTCTACTCTAAGCAGGCAGTGTTCCTGTTTGAAATGGCTCATTACAGAGGAGTTACTGCAGGAGCACCCAGAGCTTAGTTTTACATCCAAACCCTGGTGAGAACCTGCAGATTCACTAACTGGACACTAGAGCACCTTGGAGAAGAAACATTACTTTTAGCCCATGTAAATTCTGAGAGAGCTTTTCCAGTGTAGGACCTCGAATGTAGAAGGGTTTTCTGCTACTTGTTATTGTAGAAAAATCAATTTTGCCAGACATATTCAGTCCTGAAACTCAATTTCTTTCTAACATGAAGTACTACCCTCTGTGGTAAAAGCTGCCTTTGAAATGACTGGCACAACCATCTTGCTATCATCACACACTGAATGAGGATAACTACGGTATCACAGCAGAAGCCATACTTGGGCAATCCCTGGAAATGAAGTACATGGCCCCGCTGATTAGACTGTGTGCAGAGAGAAGAAATGAACAATGCTGAGCTGCTCTGAAAATCCACACTATTCAGACTTCCCTGTTTAATTAGATCAACAATGAAGTTAATGAGTTCACTGACTTCCTCTTACAGTGGCAATTCACAAAGGGGTTTCCTGAGCAGCATGTTAAAGTAACATTTTGTAGCATAGGTTTAAGTCTTGTATCGAGTTTAGCTTAAGAGCGCGGTATACTAATGAGTTGTAAATGATTACATTATCTGGGGGTGTGGCAATAGAAACTGCCAGAGAGAAAGAATTGGTGAACAGAGCCTGAATTTGATTCAGCTGATTACCTTGTAGACTGCTGCCGATCACTCCTAGTACATTCACGTGAATGAACACCTGCTATGCTGCACAACACTCCAGGTATATCCTAACATTTTATGGACTTCCACTGAACATTAACTTGGCAACAGCTCAACACAGATGAGAGGACCAGCAGTGAAACTGTTAACAGGGAAACACCAAGACCTCTGTCACCCTAAGCAAAGGTGCATAAAATGCAAGATCAAAATGCTCTTTATGGAGAAACACGTTGGACTGCTTTACCTGTTTGAATGTTTAAGGTATTCAGCTAGTGCTAGGGGTTCTGTGACTACTAGTAAATCAGATAATTTGATAAACGTGCACATTCTGAAGGATATTTGAACAGTGAGGAGTTTTCTGAGTCTGATTTAGATAGGGATTGGTACAATGTTGGCACACTTTCTGAATTTTACCTCCTGGTTCCAGTTAAATTTTCTCATTTCTTTAGCGTGCAAAATTGCATCTTCCCATTTCTGTATCACTCCAAAGTTTGATAAAGCAACAGGGAAAAGGTTATTTATCCTACCTTTAATTCGTTAGGCGGCTGCGCATCATACAGCAGGGGCGCTTTGATCTGCTGCAGGTCATGTGTGGCAATGGTTGCTGCTGTTCGTTTCTCACAGATGTCATCATGAAGTTTGATCTAACAAAATGTGCAGGACACAGAAATATGAAGTTACCAGGCAATGTCCTTCAGCATTCCTGTACCATTACCAGCTTCAACCTTACTCTAAGTTGTCTTATTAAACTAGCCCCGTAGTAGCCAAACATTTTCACCCCCTCCATCAACTTAGTCTTTTTCCATTTGACAAGCCTTTGCTTCCCCCTCTGTTGGATGGGGCTGAAAGCAATAGTTCTCTTTACTTGTTTACAAAACAGAGTAATTCACCATTGTTCACATGGCACTGGAAAGAATGCTTGTTAATTTCCTGATAATTACGCTCTGTAGCCTTCCATTTAAATGGATAGATGTTGGTAAACTATTTCAACTGACAAACTGAAATCGACAGGGGAAAAAAACTGATTAGTAACAGTCAGCGGGAGCGCAGCCTCCCTGCTTTGCACCTGTAGCAGTGCAGGGAGCCCTCTGCAGCCCCTGCTCTCACTAACTGGGAGTGCTGGGGGTCCTTGCTCTGCAATACCAGGACAACAGCATTCCTCACCCCCCCTTTGGCCTGCAGGGATCCAATGTCACCAGCCCAGAGAGCCCTCTGCAGCTCTGCTGTCACAGCCCCACCCACTCACCAGCCAGGAATGTGGAAGCCATCCCTGTGCAGGAACTGTTCAGCAGCAACCTGGGGCCAGGGGCTCTGCCAGAACCACAGTCTTCCCTGCACCCCGGGTCCCATCAGCCATGCAGGGAGTCCCCTGTATTCTCCTAGTGTCAGTGCTGCCGTAACCCCAAACCTAACCCCTGCTTAATTTCCAGCAACTGTAAAAATTAAGGATATATCTATACAGCAAAAAAGCCTGACAGCAGCAAGTCTCAAAGCCCATGTCAATGACTTGGGCTCATGCGATAGGACTATAAATAGCAGAGCAGACATTCCCGTTTGGCTGGAGCCTGGGCTTTGAAACCTGGCGAGGGGGGTATATCTAAGAGACAGGGCTCCAGCCCGAGGAAGAACATTTACACTAATATTTTTATCCCCATATGCGAGCCTGGGTGAACTCAGACATGCTGTCATGGGTGGGGTTTTTTCCATTTTATTTTAACCCTAAAGCTGTTGAAATTAGAGAAAAAAAATCAATTTCTGACAAGCCTAATTATAATGCAGAGACAGAAGAGAGGAGTTCAGATTGTTTTGCTGGTTCCATAAAAATGGAGACAAAAGATAATAATTAGGGAGCAGATAAAATGCTTCTATTTAGACATTTAATATATCAATAACAAGAGGAAACTTCCCTCCAGCTTACAACTCTATGATAGGTCAAATTTTGCCCAGCTCTACTTGTTTTTCTTTCAAAATAATCTTCCCCATCCTCCACTCTCTCCTCCCCAGCCCTAAATCCCATACTTATTAACTATACAAATAAGGAAACTGAGTATCTGAAGATGCTTATTACCACATATGGCAAAGCTAGCAAACCCATGAAAAGAAACTGATCCAATCTCAACAAGGTGTTTTGGGGAAAACACTCCATTGCAGCCTGCAACTTTAAATGCAATTGTTATGCATAATATTTTGAAAGATTGTGCATTTGTAAGCATCAATTACTGTATGGGACCAAAGTTGGGCACTTACTTGAATGAACAAAAAACACTTTGGGTGATCTATCCCTCTAATTCATCATTTTCCATTAGGAAATGTGTAGCAGAGCACAAGTCGACCAAGGTAGAAAAACTATAGATGCACAAGGACCTGTACATTTGAGAAAAACTAGCATCTGCCATCTAGTGGACAAGTATCAGAGGGGTAGCCGTGTTAGTCTGGATCTGTAAAAAGCATCAGAAGTCCTGTGGCACCTTTAAGACTAACAGATGTATTGGAACATAAGCTTTCGTGGGTGAATGCCCACTTTGTCGGATGCATCCAATCCAAAAGCTTATGCTCCAATACATCTGTTAGTCTTAAAGGTGCCACAGGACTCTCTGTTGCTAGTGGACAAGGTGACTAATGTACTAAAGCTCCCTCTCTAAAAAACTAAGAAATTTTTTCAAACATACCTCCTTCAAGTCTGAAAACTAGAGTACAAACATGTGCTATTAGATGGCTTAATATAGTTTTAAAGCCACATATGGTGTTTAAAACTAGACTGGACAAAGCATTGAAGAACAAATGTAGGAAACTACCAGTCCAGCACCAGAGAAAAAACACACTGTGATCAAAATCAGTGATACTCAGACCGAGCCTCGTAAACTGTAAGTGGCTCTTTAGTGTGTGTCCTGCAGTTATTTGCAGAACATATTAAAACACTGAGAGATTTAATTATTAACCAGTCTAAGTTCTTAACCAATCAAGATGCTTGTATTATGTTATTAGCCAACTGTAGTTGATAAAATAATAATATAATCTATATATTATATAGATATTCTCACAGCAATAGATAAACTAAATATTTCCTGCCATACTGTTGAAATATGGCTATATAGTACTATTGTGAATGAAACAATGAATTCACACTACTGTGGCTCTTTTGGGTAACGCTGATCCCTAATTTGGCTCCTGAACCACCGAGGTCTGAGTATCACTGATTGAAACAGTCTTTGCTGTCTCTGATTTTAACATGGATTCACATTTATCCTTCGTACCCAGTACATAATGTATATGGCAAAGCTACAAGGAGCTTTTAAACTGGTAGCAGAAATCGGTGTGCTTATGTGGCATCCTCCACAATAGTATCTTGAGCTCCTAACACCTTTTTCATAAAGAAAGCTTTGAGTGATCTACTGCAAATTTCAGTTTATTACAAATTGGGGCAGAAATCTGAAACTAAAGCAAATTGCACATAAAGGAATAGATGCAAATTGTTTTGTACTGTTATACTGCAGTCAATCTAAGAGTCCCCCAGAATTTAAAAACATTAATGTTCATCATAACAACTGATCAGTTACTTCCAAGGTTGGGAAAAGCTCCCTCTCTAAAAAACTAAACCCATGTACTTACAGAGAAGCAGTCCTCGAGGTTTATGCTTGTGTGCAATAGCTTCTTTAGTCACTATTTTCTCTTTAATGGAGTCTATACCAAGGAATAGACTGTTCTCAATTCTGTTCATTTGGAATGGGAGTAAAATGATCACACTGAAAACGGATTCACAAAAGTTCTAACCTAATCCTTCTATAATTACCTGTGCAGAAAGAAATCTCTTCAAGGCACTTCCTTGCTTCAAATTCATTCCCTTCACCACACAGCAAACAATGTATGGCCGAACTTCTTTGATATTTGGACTAACTTTAACTACCATTGGAGCTGGATTTTCTGCAATGTGCAGAATCTTGATCATCAGTTTATTCACCTCTTCCAGCTTGTCCTGTTCCCCATCTCCGCTATCCTTTTTCTGGCGTTTATCCCTCTTTTTTCTCTTACTCTCTTCTTTATCAAAGTTGTCTGGTTTCCCTTTTCCTTTGCCACCTCCTCGGCCTCCAACCCGCAAGTACTCCAGAATGGATTTTGTCTGGCAGCTATTGACCATTTTCTCCAGCCGCTTGTCTTTCAGTTTGTTCCCTCTGAAGTTGACCTCCTTTAATTTAGGGCAGTCAGCAAGCTCAACGGGGATTTCTGATAACTCATTATTGGAAACATCCAGGATCTGAGAGAGGAAAAGCATTTACAAAGTTAGACTGGCTGCTTCTAAAAGCCTTGGGCCTAGCTCTGCCTTGGCACGCTGTTTGCTCAGAAGGCAGCTAGATGCCACATGGTAAGCCACGGCATAAAATGTCTACATTTTATGTAGACATCTCCCCAACCACACACACAAAAAAAGATCATTTGTTATATCTTGGCTCTAGGGTTAGGTATGTCATTCTGTCAATGCACCATTACATAGTTCATGAATTCTGCCAGTTCCTCTATAGAACACCCACCACTTCTAGGGCTTGTAATTTAGCAGACTCCAATGCATCAGTCTTTTCTCATAAAGGTCTAATTGTCACCCATGCTGACAACTCTCACAAGTCATGCAACATTTGTGACTTTCTTAAAGCCCCAGTATCCAGGATCAATGAAGCGAGAAGCTCATCTTCCATTAAAAAAGTGTCTAGCCCTCTTGGTTGCGGAGAAAAGCTTGATAACCTGAACCAAGTGCAATCTAAAGGCTCAGAAACTAGAAAGCAAATAAAATGAAGCCCATATGTGGTGTTAAAAAAAAAACTGATTTTAACTAAGTGCCTAACTTGTGCTATTTGTACACAGGGGCTGGCAAAACGGTCTCTCTCCCTTCCCACTGGGCTCCAGCATCACCCCATTCCAACCTACAGGAAACCATCTGCAATCTCCTGTGGGGTCTCAGCCCCTCAACCCCTTCTCCACCCACCATATGAGGGGTACAACCTCACCTCCCCCAAGGTAGCCAGTCTCTTTGCCCAGCCCCTTCTCCTCACCCTCTCCCCCTGACCTTGAGGGCCGGCAGGTTGGCGATGGCAGAGTCCAGCTCCTGCAGCCCGTTGTCGGCTGCCTCCAGTTGGCTGAGCAGTGGGAGGAGGCCGGAGGCGCCCGGGGGCAGGAGGCCGCCGGGCAGGGCACTCAGGCGGTTCCCGGAGAGCAGCAGGGTCTGCAGCTGGGGGGCGGCCCGGGCCAAGCCTGGCCCCAGCTCCCGGAGCCGGTTCCCGGTGAGGTTCAAGCTCCGCAGCTGGGGGAAGGCGGGGGGCCCCCCAGGAGCGCAGGGCCCGGCCGGGTCCAGGGCTCCCCCCAGCGCCGCGGGCAGCGTCTCCAGCCCGTTCCCGGACAGGTCCAGCACCCGCAGGGCCGGCAAGGGGCCTCCGAGCCCCGGGCCCTCCGGAGCGCCCAGCCCCGCCGGGCCCAGCCCGTTCCCGCGCAGCACCAGCGTGTGCAGAGCCGGCAGCGCCGCCGCCAGCCCCGGGCCCAGCTCCCGCAGCGCCCCGCAGCCGCTCAGCTCCAGCGCCTGCAGCAGCGGCAGGGCCAGGAGCCGCGGGGGCAGGCGGCCGCCCCCGCCCGAATACGGGCCTCCACCGCCGCGCCGGGGAGAACCAGCTCCCGGCGCCGCTCCCGCTCCGCCGCCTCCAGCTCCGGCCAAGAGGCCGGGTCCGCCATGCTGCCTGCCGACCCCGCACTTCCGGGTCACGGCACTGCTTCCGGGGGCGGTGCTGGCCTGGGGTTGGTCGCCTGACCATAGAGAGCGGCGCGGAAGGCGGGCTAGAGTGTCCCATCATCGCTTGTACAGCGCCACCCCCGGCACTGCCATAGAGTGAGGGTCCGCCAGGGAGTCCAGAGGGCCGCGTTCCCATTTCCGAGGGAGGGGAGTGGGTGTGGCTGCCATGGAGAGCAGCACAAAGGGAGGCTAGAGTGTCCCACTAGCCTCCCCCTTATTGCTAACCTGCCTGGAGTCACCCTGCGGCGGGGGCGGGGTGTCTCAGCCCAGCTCTGGGACAGCTGGTGCCTGTGCCCGTAACTGAGGGTGTGTCTACACTACAGCCACAGCAGCTGTGCCCTTGTAGCCCTGGGGTCGCCAAGTCTGATGGGACGAATTCCTGGACGTTTCATCACATTTAATTAAAGATTAATCTTTAATTCCTGGAGACTCCAGGACAATCCTGGCAGGTTGGCAACCCTATGTAGTAGCACCGTAGCACAGACCCTACATCCACGGTGTTCCATTGATGTAGGTAACTCACAGTCGCTAACCCACCTCTCCCAGAGGCAATACAGGCGGCAGCTAGGTCAACTGAGGGTTAGGTTGATCTACCTACGTCATGCAGGGCATGGAATTGTTCACAGTGTAGCTAGGTCAATCTAATTTTTAAGTGTAGACCTGGCCTAAATGTGTGTGCAAAGCTAAGGGCAGATTTTAGCCTGTGGCTGATGCCTGGCTGCACCATTTTGTCACAAGATGGCAGTGCCTATAAGGGCCCATTTTTTCACCTCAAAGGATGGGAAGTACTTTCTTTCACTGACATAAATGGGACTAACTGTACATGAAATGAGTGTGGTTAAAGGACATTGAAAGGAGAGGGAGGGCTCACTATCTCAGCCTAGGCAGGGGGATTTAGGGGGGAATCATTCTCCTTTTCCCCACCTCTATTCTCCCAAAACTATAGACCAAAAAAAAAAAAGTTATGGTAAAAGACCATTAAGGTGCAAAGTCAATCACTTAAAAGTTAGGAAATGACAGAAATGCCTAGGCAGCCTTAATTCATCTCCCTTCTGCATATGGATTATGATACAGTCTTCACATAAGCACATACAATTTTTGTTTACAAAGGAATTTGTCCCTTTAATACCACACACATTTGACCTTAATTATACAACATGTAACCTTTAAATGTGAAATAAAATGTGTTAAAAATAAAATAGGAACTGTTTAATATCCCAAATAATTTAGAAAATGGTTTTTGGACTTGTGGACTTCCTAAAAATATGTGTATTTGGAGGCCTGATGATATATTTAAAATATGACCATTTAATTCCTTTATTATTATTAAGAAGAGACAATCATTAATCAACCTCATTTACAAGAATCCCCTATGAAGGGACATTTTCAAACAGTGAAAATGTAATAATTATAACCTAGAGCTATGCAAACTTCTTAAGAGACACAATATAAAAGCCAAACACTTCAAAAAGCCAAACCAAGTAGGATAATTAAATATACTCTATTCTGGTATCCTAAAGAATCAGTTCACATTCTCCTGTCATTCTGAAAGAAACTTCAAAAAATATACACTATGGTACAGAAACACAGATACCAGCAAAATCAGATGCTACGTGTGTCTTCAGAGTATGTCTCTAACTTCTAGCTAAAACACTAGGAGTGAATCTATTGCTCTGCCAACAGAGGGGGTATCTTGTCCACGTATGTATATTACCAGAAAGCAAGATGACTAGTGCCATGTGTTGCTCAATTAGAGCAAGAAAATATTATAAAGGGGTGTTATAGCGAGGAATATTAATACTCTCGGCTTGCCAATAGTTTTGCACTTGCTTAAATTTAAGTTAGTGATCTGATTGCTGGTCATTTACTGACAGCCAACTAGCTTTTCGGTTTTCCTGTTCTACTTCCCTGAGAGTTGAGCAATAATGTGTGTGTTGTGATTATAGTAGATGTAAAATAATCTGTTTATTTGAAAAAATATATTCCCAATTTTCACACTTCTGATTTTCTAACAGTCAGGGCTAACTCTCAGTGCTCATTGTCTCTCTTAAAAGACTCACACAGCAACTTCTTTGTCAAGGTGAGTGAGGTACTGTCTGTCATTGGACCAGCTCCTGTTGGTGAGAGAGACAAGCTTGGAGCTTACACCGAGCTCCTCTTCAGGGGTATGTGTGTGTGTGTGTGTGTGGGCAGGGGGTCATGTTGGACAAGCTGCACTGACTATGCCTGCACAGCAAGAAATGGAGTCACTGGGGTCATATTAACATCCCAGCCATCTGAGTTACTTGGCAAGTTTGTAGTGCTTTAAAACCCTGGCACTATCTCCAAAAGCCTGCTTTGATCTGTGCTCATTCTGCACTCTTATTCCAACACCCAGCCAGATCTCGCAGCCCCAGACTCGCCAGCAAAGTCCCGCTAAGGCTGCTCCCTCTGCCTCTCCCTGTTATTGTTGGATATGATCGATATGAGAAAGGCTGAACAATGCATTAAGTCAGGGAGGCCAAGAACTGCACTCCCTTCCCCCCAGCTTCTCCACACAGAGGGCCATGCTGGTACCTGCAACTCAGGCATCAAGCCAAGCAGTTCTGGGCTCAAGTGGTGGCCAAGGGAGCCTGTCCTATCCTGGCAGGCTCGCCCTGGGGAGTGGCCCTGCAGTCAGCCCATGGCCAGGACACCAGAAGCACTCTGCACATCTCTTGGGGTGGGCTAGCTCCAGGCTGGAGAAGTGGTAACCTGGAGCCAGACCTGCTGACGGTGCCCCCGACAGGCAGCGAGTGCAGGGGCCCAGGCAGGGCGCATGGATGCCTAACTGCTGGCAAGGGTCCGCTGCCCAGCATGGAAGGCAGCTGCAGGCTGCACATGGTGCTGAGGACTGGCCTGAGCGTCTCCTGGCCATGCTGCTCACCCTGCACCAGCTGCATCAACTGGAGCCAGGGTCCAGGGGGCACTGGGTCCCCCCAGGGCTGGCTCCAGCTGGTCCATAGTACCCTGAGCCAGGGCTCCTCTTGGGGCAGGGCGCTAAGCTGTATGGTGCCGGGTGCCCCGGGCTGGCTTGGGCAGGTGGATGGGCGATTCCACCCCTTCCTACTGTACCGCCACTGCCATGACTCAGCCACCCGAGAAATGCCAGGGCGACCGCACGGCCCTGCTCTTTGCTGTCAAGTCAGGGCTGGAGCACTTCGAGTGGCAGGTGGCCATGCAGGGCATGCGGGGCCGCAAGCTGGAGGTGGCCGGGGCCGGACCCTCTTCCTTGTGCGCACCCTGCAGGAGGTCAACTTCCTGCGCTGGTTCCACCGGCACTGCCCACAGGTCGAGTTCCTCTTCCAAGGCAGCGACGTCTTCGTGCACACGGGTAACATGCTGGATTTCCTGGATCCCGGTGCGGAGACCCCAACCTGCCCTGGCCCTTTGTTGGGGACATCAGCCGTGGGGCTTTCCCCAGGCGGAACAGGCATACTAGGTACTATATCCCCAAGGGGCTCTATGACGAGCCCTACCTTCTGTGCCGGTGGGGGAGGCTTCCTCATAGCCACCGCCTTGGCCAGAAGATTGTTCTTGGCTTCCGAGACGATCCAGCTCTTCCCCATTGACCATGTGTTCCTGGGCATATGCCTGAGACCCACCCAGGCTTCAGGACTTTTGGGACTGTCAGGTGCAGAAGCAGTGTTATGAACAGGGTCTCTTGCTTCTACAAGGGCTTGCTGTTGGTGCACAAGATGATGCCAGAGGCATTACTAAGGATGGGGGAGCTTGTACATGACAAGAGAATCAGCTGTGCTAGGACAGTTCATTTCACTTCACTCAAAAAGCTCTGGCCAGAATGGCCCAGGAGCATTAATGCTCCGGGGCCTTGCGATGAGCTGCTCTGCACTGTGAAATCCTTTGCTTTGCAGTGTGACTGGGCATTGCCTCACCAGATTTACATTTCCTGCCCACTTCTACATTTATGCTGCTGCAGCTTTCCCAAAGAACAAAACCAAAGGCTAGATGGCAAATTTGTGACCTAACACCACAGCCCCCTCTTGCCTCAGACAACAGTGATCAGTTTAAACTAGGTGCTGAGAGAGGCTTGTTTTTATGAATGAATGAGACTTGAGTCACCAATTAACTAGTTTTTTTTAACCTGGTGACAAGCTACAAGGACAAATTCAGAGATCATGCAAGTTACATGGACATCAGTGTACCCTAAGGCAGGGAGAGAGAGAGAGAGAGAGAGAAGGAGAAACAACCAACAGAGAATAAGTTTACTATGATGCAAGATAAAGCATGGTTCTCTCCTTGGAGAGTACATAACATATTTTTATTCAGGTTTACACATGTTGATTAACCTCTAACTTCTTGTTCCAGATTTTCTCAGGGCATATTTTCAGGGGGGGAAATCAGTGATTTGGGTGCCTTGTTTGAGAAGAGCAGCTAAAAATCTGCCTTTCCTGGGTTCCCTTTTAATGTTCCTGAAAGGTGAGGTGCAGTGAGCTGTGCCTGCGAAGGTTTCATGTGGGAATTGAGTAAATCAGAAATCAAACCACTGGAAGGTTAGTGAGCTCAGCAGACAATAGCACACACAGGACCGAGCATGTTTGTCAAAAGCAGAGACACCATCAGTACTTGCTAAAATAGATGGAATTTTATTAAAACATAGCAATAAAATTTAATTTATATATTTCATCCAGGGGTTAGCCCACTGCACCTGATAGCTGAAGACCTCTAGGGTCAGGCCTGCTCTCCAGAGATAGATTATTCTGATCAACCAAGGAAAATCATCACAACTGCCAAGTACTGAACAATCAAATCATTTGTTGTAGTGGAATTCCAAGCAGAGGCCGGGGAGACTCTCCTGGAGAGAGTGCATGCTCTATGCTCTTGAATAGTCTCTGCCATTTAGATCGATGAAAAAATTGGCAGATACTCACAGAGCCCAGTACTTTGAAATGGAAAAGCCACAGCATAGGAGCCAAAG